GGCGGCGGCCATCTGGGATTTACAGTTACACCGAATATAAAAAAATACATTGTCTGGGAATGACAGAGAATTACAATAATAATAGCTGTCGCCCGCGACTCCGTCCGTGTAGCATTAAAAACACAAGTAGATGTGTTCTTCCAAACCATGCTCTACATTTATGCCTATTATCGAGATCCGTTCAGCAGCTTAAGATGTCTCTAACAAACTTCCATCCATCCATCTAAACTTTCGCAGATATAATATTAGTAAGATAAGATTGCTTTTGAATAGACTTGGCGATGGACATGGGCATAGTGCCGGTGCACTGCGAATGGGCGTTAAACTGCCTCGGACAGTATGCACTGGCGCCGCTCGAGCTACTGTGCTCGCCCGCGCTGCTGACCCACACACTGGAACACTGGCCTCAACGACTCACAGCACTCATACAATAGTATACACATCTTCAAACATCTCACTTGCCCCGAAAACGCAGTACGCTGTTCACCTTGAGCCGACAAAATATTTGAAAAGACTTATACACTTTTAAGATCACATTACGTCATTTGTCACTTGTTATTTTAATTAATCGTAAAAGTTAAAAAAACATTTGATAGTATCATTGTTCAATGAATCATTGTTTATGTTTTTATTATATTGTGAAATGTTTTGTTTTTTAATTCAGTTTTAAACAAATATTGTTTTTTACACCACACAAATTACAATAATGATTCAAATCATTTTAGTTAAAATGTACAAATTTTGTGTAAAGCAACACTGTAATGGTTACGTAAAACGTTACTAAGTGTAAGTTACTCTTGCTTAATTTTCATTAATTGTTTTCTCATTGAAGGACCGACAGTGGCATAAGTACACTTGCATAAGTCTTATTTAGGGACTCAAAAACAGAAATACCATTGATAATCAACATTGTTAATGTAAAATGTAATAATTATTTGTTAATTTGTACTAATTATATTTAAATATATTGACATATAAAATAAGAAAATGTTGTTTTAATTATGTTATAGAATCATGTAGAATTAAAATAAACATATCCAATGCAGATGAAATTAAAGAAAAAATAGATGTAGAAAGAGATGGATGGATTGAGTGAAAGGTGAAATGATTAAAAAGGGAGTGATGTCTGAGATGACGTATGATAGAGTTATTTTGAGGACAAAAACCCGTCGTACCGAACCTACGGGAGTAGGATAAGGAGGGTGATGATGATGGTGATTGAATTACAAGAAAAAACTGAGAGTAATGAGTTTGTATTTTTAATAAATGTTTTAAATATTCCTATTCTTTCATCATAATTACCGTTTTTTTTAATTTTCCTCATGACCAAATAAGGATAAACTAATCCTATAAATAACTGATAAAGCGAATATACGTGTTATTTTAAATTCCTGCTTCCTATTCTGATATCTTTTTGCTAGAATTTTTCGTGTATTCTTCCATGACGTAATTAGATTAACCAAAAATGATTAGTACTACTACCGTATTACTATTGCATTTCTATAAAACACTTCCTTAACATGTCGAAAAAACCTACACTATTTTCCTAAATAGTCTAAAATCTTTTACATATCGTATTTCTAACGGGAATAAGAGGGACAGAAACATTTTTTTTAAGAAAAGTGACAAACACCGAAATGGTCATCGACATAGACTATACCAGAACTGCAGATGCATTGCCTTCTTTCAAATTTTTGTAGGGCTTTGGATAATAAAACTCAAAGTTATAAGAAGTTTTGACAATTACAACAATCCTTGCTTAGTATTGCCTTTATATCAGATGGAAACTGACGGTATTGAACTAAACAGCACGAGATGCTGTCGGCGTTAGGAAGAGTGACTTAGATGTTCGTATCATTGCACAAAAAAGAACTAACTTTAACTAGGATCACTCCACTTGTAATAATGTTATTAAAGTGGGCTTTGCTTATTTGGTATTTATAATGCCATATAATTAGGTAACAGGTTTTAAAATTAGGCACTAATGTTCTAAACTTGACAATATTATCGAAAGCGATAATTTAAATTGCCAAAACTTGTAATTTAAATGCAGATTTGAAATTATTTGGCGGCCATTAAAAGTATTGCCTAAAAATGCCTAAAGTTCAGCGTTTTAAGGATTACGGCCGTGACTTGTGGCGCTTTTAGGATATTTGACCCCAAGAACCTGCCTTTTATTAATTATTGCCTTGACTTTATCCGAAACTTATTAGCAAACGATAAGACACGTATAGGTTATATGTAAAAAAATCCCACGTAATTAACACCTAAATGTAGTGACATTTTCAGTCCTGTTAACCTCAGACATTCATTTGTTTTCATGTATTAACCATAGTTGTAGGACAAGGTTTTAATACAATAGTTTTTTTTTGTTTCAACGCTTTATAGTGTTCTTTCTGGCCTATTAATTTACTCAAAGTCATCGAGTTGCGTTTAAAAAAACATTAACCAACTTCTTAGTTAATGAATGTTGCTATGATCTAAATCACCGTAGGATACATTTTAAATTGTGTTTCATTGTAACTAATTTGTAGCATAATGTTACTTCGACCTTCATACGAAAGCCAAGTATTTGTTTACTATGTAAGATATCGTGTTATTTTTGACTTAAATTACATAATTACATGGCATGAATACTATTTTGACTGAGCTTCTGAATGTCGACCGCATGTCGCCGGGAATATACAAATTGCCTAGCATAGGCAAAGCACAAAAAGACTGCGTTATATCTCTTCATTATTAATGGTGATAGTATTCAAGTCCATTTATTAATTTTTAACTCTCCTCCAACAAGCAATCGTTTGCTTTTGTAAAAAGCACAAAATCTGTTTACAAAGCACAAAGTTTTTGGTACGGGAATTAGACTAAACGTTACATGATACATGGCAATTACTACAAGAATATCTAACCGGAACTGAAGTGGTTATAACAAAGCATTGATAAATCAATGATAATACACTTGACCAAAATATAATCGACTATCATCAAGAGATAAGGCATTTGTACACGTGACTTGTCGCTCGTCGTGATATAAATAAATTGTATGTACGTACATACGTATTACCAGTAATCGTAATACATTAATGATAATTATAATCTTTACGATTTAGTTTATTTGCCGTAATCATTAAATACTTAATAAGGATTTGCATAATATTGATAAATTAAATGAAAACAATTTGTCATAGGAGACATAAATTCGGCGAGACGATGGGTACATAAACCAGATAGTGCTAAGATTGCATGTGGATACAAAGGAAGAGAAAGACCGAAGAAAGTATGGATGGATTGTATGAAAGAGGATATGCTTAAGAAGGGAGAGGATTTAGATATGAAGGCTGATAGTAATGTATGGAAGAGCAGTACGTACTGTAAGGGATAAAACCAAGTTGATGTTGACGATGGACGAAGGAAGAATCGCATGTAACGTTAGTTACGAATGTGGAGGTACACTGGTAGAGTTAGACCTAGAAAGAGATGAATGGATTGCGTGAAAGGAGACATGATCACGAAGGGAGTGATGACTGAGATGCCGGATGATAGAATTATTTGGAGGACGAAAAGCCGGTGCGCCGAACCTACGGGAGTAGGATAAGGTAGGGAGATAATGAATTTGTCATATTATTGAGTAGTCAAAATAATTTATCTTCTGCTAGATTTGGTGATATATATTTATCGAAGAGATCGACATTTTATTACACCTACTTAACGAGATTGACCATTGAATAAAATACATTTCTTTACATACTTTCCAGTGAAAATAAAGTTTTCACTTTTCAAGTAAGAACTTACTAGATTTTCTTTAACAACGTTTTTAATCGTTGTTGAAAAGAAAGGCAAGCTGGCATTGCAAGGTCAATAATAAACTCTTGGAGCGGAGCCAGAAAACATTATTAGATGTTGTAAATGATTTGAAAACATGCCTGAAACATGATGCTTGCGATATTATATTCGCCATTACATACATACACAATATAACTCCGAACCTATAATACATATTGAATGCAAAGAAACTGACAAACTCTGAACTGAGTAAATAATATTTTGTAAAATGTATTTTTTATAAGAAAGTCATAAGAACAAGAAAAAGTTCAAAGAAGAGGTTCAAAAAATTGGACGCACTAGATACACAACCCCGGAGTCACAATAAAAAAGGTAAATTAGTAGTATAGTAACTAAAAAAAGTAGTTTTGAGATTATAATTAGTGTACATTAAAAAAAATTACCACTTTCTAGAACTCAATGTCAGTAGTCTAGACGATTCGACATCTTATTCTGGACTAGCAACATGTAAACGGTATCGTTACAAAAGTAAGCATTAAATATATGTAAATATAGTGAACTAAACGATTAACCCTATTACCTTTCACCGAAAAGGTCGCGCCCTCAGACCGATTTTATTGTACTGGCGCTAATGGTTCGTATCGATTATATTGTGACAGAGCTTTTTTGTTAAAAGAATATTAATAGTATTTGGTTCACGTCAATAGTTGAATAGCGGGGATCGAACCTTCGACCACAAGATCGGAAGTCCGTACCCCAAACCACCAGATTATTGGCGCTTAGAAAGGTAGATTAGGTACTTTCTCCATAAAAGCTAATAATTGGTATGTTTTACAATCATTTTTAAATATTTTCTATTAATTAAATGGTCGGTTATTATTTCGAAGCGAGGCTTGTAAAATTCTTTAGACTGTAACCAAAGTTTATTTCATTTGGCTTTTCAAGTCAAATACTAGGTCGAAATAGTACCGTTAGAATCGAACGGGACAAGCGCAACGTCTAGTTTGTACCTGTACTTTGTCAAAAGTCAATTGAATTTTGGCTGTTAACCGTAACTACATTGCCGAAACATACTATCAGGCACCCGAATTATGCTATACAAAAAAAAAACTTAGGTTAACGTACGTCTATGGTCAACCCTTTCATACCTTACATTGTTATGTTATTTATTTAATACGCCTTACCATGACTACAGACCGGCGCGAATTTTACACAAATCATAGTTACTGAAAAATTATGCGTAGACTTGCAAAATGCGATCCTAACCAATAAATATTAGAGTATGTACTTATACCGAGAGCAGTGTGGTGATTCATATTTATGGTAAAAAATATAACCACGTTGACATCCGTAATAAATAGCAGCAGTCAGAGTTAAAACACGTGTTTATACTTTTGTGGGTGAGAGCTCATAACTACGACATACATTGTATTTTTGTAGTAACCGGTAAGGATCTTATCTCCTATACGTAGAAAGACTATATTTAATTATTAGCACGTCTTCTAAGCCGAAGGATCAATGTCCAAATTTGTAGATAAATTATTTATATTAGTCACTTTTTAATGTAAACACATTTTTAATCTTATCTCGACGATTTGATGATAAAATATGTCATAATATAATTTTCCTCAACGTTAAGAAACGAAAAAACTATAGTGAGTGTTACTTTGTTAGCAAGATAAAAATGCACAAATCTTTATGTATTTTTACATTGTAGTGTGGTTGGTACAAAAATAATTTTACATACAATATCCACACACGCATACATATAAAAAATAACGACAGATCATAAAAGTCTTGGTTTAATTAATGTGATTTCAACATATTCCTTTGTTTGTTAAATTAAAGAAAAAATAATCCAATCGTCAATACAAAATTGTAGTTGCACAAACATACTTTAATATGACTGGAGCCTTCACAAGGACAACTCAATGTCGTTGCATTGAAATACACTTTATAATACTATCACGTATGTATAATCATTTGAACTTAAATTTTCCTTAAAATATAACACAAGAGTTTAAATAGAAGTTTATAATACTCACCTACACCACTTAATGATTGCTGCTCCCGGAATATTTCACAAGCAACCAGAATTTAATACAGAGGCTATGTGGAGAGGTTATAATAAGAATAAAATTGTATACCTGTATTTAAGTATTTAATAATAAATAATAAAAAAAACATATAATTAATGACCTACCCAAAGACAATTAAGTAACGATAACTTTTTATTATGCAGTTACTCGAATCAGTCACGTGTGTTGTAAGGCCAATGACCACGAACGTGTTAATTTAAATACAATAATAACTTTTTTGTAGTGTTTTTATAATAAATATTTTAATTATTCAAACTGCGGTCTGACAAATCACTTTATCAATTGCTACAAAATATTGTAACCTATTGCATCATTTTTTATTGGAAAATTTTATTTTTCACTATTTTTCCGAATTATTTTAATTACCATAAGTAAAAATTTTTTTCTTTAATACAAAGAGAATACATGAATGTTCACAATACGTTTATAAATCGTACTTTATTAACTATTCTTAATATTAAGAAATCTTATTTTTAAGAAAATAGAAATATGCTTACATTATAATTTATGCGAAAACATGTGATAATGTAACTGCGCTTTCAACGTGAAGTTTTTTCTTTATTTCATCATACATGTTTCGTAATAATATAAAGGATTTCTCATGATATAGTCTGATTTAAAATTCTGTGACAACGTATTTATATTTTGTTTTCGTCGAGAGCAAAATGACCGGATCACTACATTGGGTCGTGTATTTGGACGTGTAGTTCTATAGCTGGGAGCGAGCGCGGCGTGGCGTGTTGCATCGCGCCACCGTGTTGTCCAATCCTTGGGTTCCGTGCGCGGTCGCGCATGCCGCGTCGCGTTGACTCACACCATCACAGAGACAAAGTTGCTATCCTGTAAAAATTCACAATTTATTAGGTAGTTTTTTTGTGGAACGATAATACAAAGTAAAACTTTTTCAACTATTTATTAACAGGCATATGTCTTCATTTAGTACACTACCTTTGAATTGACTAGTAAAATAAAAAAGAATAAGATACAAATTAACTTATAACACGTTTTTCCTTTGAATAAATCGTACGATTGTTCTATTTAGGTGTAAAATTTCAGTTTTTTACGTTTTGGGATAAGATCTTATTATGATTGGTTATTTAAAATAACATTAATTAGTTTTAACTGTATACTTTCTATTATTACGTTAATATGTAAATACATCAACAACAAGTTTCTCCAGGTTTTGAGTTTCATCTCATTTGAATTGTTCACAAAACTTTCATTGCATATAGGGAGTTTAGTAGTCATTTTCTGGCAACACGAACCTACGTCGTCATTGCGATACTGCTATACCAGATGAATTGTGACGTGAGCACGTGAAAAATGGTGATGCCGGGTCTGCGATTATAATATCGTTCGTGATAAAGGTTTATTAGTGTTATTTATCAATGCTTATGCATCAAGTGCAAAAAAATTGAATCTCGAAAATATTCGGAAGTGAACGTAAAATCGAATCTGCGAGTGTAATCGGTGCATTAAATTTTGGATTATCAAGAAGGTAAGCCTTTAACAATGGTGTTAAAATACAATTATTTTAAAATGCATGTGATACTACGAAACTAAACATGACGCAGATCTAATTAGAATAAGCAATTTAGAGAAAGGTACTGATATTAATTGCTTATTGGAAAATGGTCCAATTACACATTTTGATTGTTATTATTATAAAACTTTATTCGAATATCTTAAAAAGCTTGTAAAAAATTAGATGATCAACATAACATCGAATTATACTAGAAACAAAACAAAAGCAATTTGGCGACCATATTTTGTTGCCACTTGGATTGCATAATATGCAATGCAAAAATCGCTTTATCAAGTTTCAGTTAACTGTAACTGCATTAAAATTTATTTAGGTTAATTTTGTATACGTGAATAATGGTACGTTACTGGAAAACAATAAAAACCATGTGGTCATGAAACATCAATTCTCTTTACTAAATATATGTAAATTAGGGAGGATTTTTTTTTAAATAATTCGCAAATCCCTTGTACCAAATAAAAGGCAAAGCGTGTTAAAGCATAAAATCCAAAATATTTGTAAAAATGACTGGTCTCAAAAAAGATAAAGCACAATAGGTACCTTTTTTTCGGCAACTGCACGTTGTGTAAGCAAAATTAGAAACCTTCGATCTATATTCAAAAGACCTCAAAATTAAAACATGCAAAGTAGCAATTACGACAATGTTTTGTGCAAAAAATTGTCACTAAAAGTAACCGTTGAAAATCCTAACCGTGGAAATCCACTGTCGATCGTAACATAAAGATAATATCTTTATGTCAACATTTTCACCGTCGTCATTGTTTAAACAATTATAATTCACGACAATAAATCAAAATGCGAAATAAAAACGTCTAATAGAAATAATTTTTACGTTAAAATACAATTTTAACCCCAAATATTTTTAACTTGCTACAAGTAAATTGTTTTGCGCTCCAAAAATTCTGTCGTAGAATAATGCGGACTTCCATTCTTTGCACCAGGATATTGTAAAAGGGTGATGTCTCGGATTTGCTTTATCCATCGCATAGATAATATGTTTATCTTTTCATGCAAACCGATACTTAGTCTGTAAACATATATATGTGGTACAGTTGGCTTTTATGTTCATTCAATAATCATCTTCAATAGTGCAAAGTCTACTAAACAGTTTCTATAGTTCTGTGTTTTATTACGTTTAAACTGATCAGTGTTTCTGTTAATTTTATCAATCATGTAAGTTCAATTAATTTCTACGTGTTCTTTATCGCGTTCAGGAAAATAACCGGTAACGGTTAACAGTACGTTGTGCGACAGTTTTTTAATAAGCACTAATATGATAAACGACGTTAATTGTAATCACTAGTTGTGAAAAATAGGCTCTCACTTTGAAGTTGATTTGTTCTTATAATGTTCTAAAATATACAGTAGATATCTGAATAATTTTACAAATTCATTTAAAACGGGTATATGTCACGTGTGTATCACACTTTAAATACAATACGATTTATTTATAAACTATAAATTTACATAAATTTCTATAAGGATACGCTGTTTTAAACTTGGCAAGAATATAAATATACCTCATTTAATTTTAGCTAGCGGTTGCATAAAAAAGTTATTATAATTTTTTTAAGTTAGTCTTTTCTTCGTTGAAATTTCAAAAGCTATAAAAGCACCCTCGAAATCAAATAAACATACGGAACCGGCTGTTTTTTTTAATTTTTTTTAAATAAACTTCTACGCAATAATCAACTACCGTTAAGTCCAATAACAATTAGTCATTTTATCAAAATGGTCACCTTCTTCTATATTTGCAGTTCAAAATGGCGCCAAAATCGGCGGATGCTAACGGGGTGCTGTTCGAGTCTGACGCAGCAACACCAGATCTGGCGCTAGGCAGCGCTCCCATCATGCAAGCTGACAAACAACCGAGGAAGCTGGTCTGGAGGAACATCATCGCTTTTGCCTACCTTCATCTTGCAGCTGTATACGGAGGCTATCTCTTTCTTTTCCACGCTAAATGGCAGACAGATATATTTGGTAAGTGTTTTGAAACCCTTCACCACTTCTATTGATTTGTTGATCTTCAAAATTGCTAAGCAGATTTAATTTTACTGGCTGATTATCGATGAATACTAACTGTCCCACTAAAAGAAACATTAATAGAGGTTTCTCTAACATATAGGAACATTAAAAAAAAGAGAGTATGCGTTGTTATTGTACATTTTTATCAAGTTATTAAATAATATTAATTCGTAAGGAACTTGTCTGTCACTTTGTGTAATATGTTTCATAACTGTATCGATTACCGAGATTACATTATCTTTTTATTTTAATACAAAACCAATTAGTATGTTACATTTCTAAGCGGCTTTTAATACTTTGCAATCTCTTCCGCGCTTTTAATACCATCGTAATTTCAGTCCAATTCCTGTAATATTCTTCCTTGTTTAGTCATATTTATACAATCGTTTTTAGATACTCATGCTTGAAACGTGAAAATCCCTATTATTACCCAAGAATTTTAAAGTTGTCAATACACTATGTTGACCATGTAACTCTTTAAATCTAGGATAATGAGGAGATTCTTTCACACGATGTCGCTTCAGCTACCCAATAAGTAATGAATAGCTTTGATGGTTTTCTGTACTATATGATCTGGGTAGAGAGCGACTGTATTTCCTTGACCTGTATTGAAGGCTATCTAGTGTGTAATTAATTTTGTAAAATGTTGTCCACAGCGTACATACTGTACGTAATGTCAGGTTTGGGAATCACAGCGGGGGCGCATCGTCTTTGGGCACACAAGTCTTACAAAGCCAAGTGGCCGCTCAGACTCATCCTAGTCATCTTCAACACGCTAGCATTCCAGGTAAGATAATATTTATATTGTAAATATATTTAATTTTTTAAGTTTTATATTTTTCTAATAAGAATATGATGAATGTGCGTCAACTTGTGACGTATTAGGTTTAAAAAAATGCGCAAAAACTTTTCATTGTAAAATTTTCTAGTGATTTTTATTGTTTATATTGCAATGTTACTAGATTTAAAACAATTCTTCTCAATGTTAAAATACAATTTTCCAAAATTTCCATCAATGAATAGAAAGTTCGACACAAATAGATCAAACACACCGCGTAAGATATAAAATACGTGTGAAGAAAATTTAAAGATTTGATTTATTTGAAATGTTGTTTACAAAAAACTATTTTATGTTAGTGCTGTATGGTTTTCATAACATTCACCTTGAATACATGTAGTTTTGCAACGAGTGTCTTGCTCTTGGATGTTAGCCAACATAATCTGCGTTTATTTTTTACCTCCCTATAGCGTATGGATATGCTTACAATATCTCAAGCATTTTACTTGAATAACGCTTGAACTACATAAAAGCCTTATCGATAAGTTTCGAATAGCTTCTCGAAACTGTGACGCAAATATTCGTAATAGACCCTTTGTGAATGGAACTGTTCGATTTAAATAAAGCGAATTGTCTTTCAACTCGTGGTTTGATACCTTCTGAATCTCAAAAATAAAATCTTGTTTTAAAATTACACTAATAATTATTATAAATGCGAAACTTTACATGGATGGAACAATGTAGCCTAAACTGCTGAACGGATCTCGATGAAATTTGACATAGGCGTAGAGCATAGTCTGGAAGAATACATAGGCTACTTACTTTTGTTTGTATAATTTCAGTTTAATATAAAATTATTAAACAGTAGAAGTTGAGATAGGCAGCAGGTAAACGCGGTGTGGGCGACGCTTTGTTGACGGTAGATAAATTGCACTCATCGTTTATCAAGATAACGACACGGCAGAGGACGGAGAGAACGTACAGGAATTACCTGCGTTTTATGTTATTATTGAAATTGCATTGTTTTTTTATAATAGATGTGGCCAACAAGCTAACGGTCACTTAAGATCAGTAAAGCCAAATTACTGCCCATAGACTATTGCAAAAGTTAAAAAGTTACAGATGCCTCTACGTTTGATAGAGGGGACATATTTAATTGATCTATTATACGTTTTAAAGTCTACATATACCAAGTCTATCGAGACGCACTGTCACGTGAAGCACACGCAATGTTAGGTCTGACGATTATTGTATTACTTGGTATTTAATTACTTTATCAAAGTTCAGTTCTCACTCGTGTTTCGTATTATCAACACATTAACTATCTCCGATTCCTCTTGATTATTTAATTAAAATCGTTGCACTGAACGTGTTAATGAGAGCAATAAGCATTTTGTTACGGTGTTTATTGTTATGGTTTTTTATAGGAACGTGAGGAAAATATTTTATTATCTGTCAATGTACAGATAAAATATTACAAGTTCATCGACAGCTTATCGTCTAACCGCGTTTTCATTGACTTACAAATATTTGCCAATAAAAATATAGACCAGTCAATTACAAATACAATAAGATCCTTATCGTGAATTGTTAAAAAAAAACAAATGCCATCCAAATCCAATAAGAAAATTTTCGTGTTAGAGGAGACAAATGACGTATTAGAATCAAATTTTTGGGCATATTTTAGGCCTTGAAAATACTAGTTTTAATTAGCAGTCTATTTTAAAAAGAAACAAGAAATGCTACCTACTTTACCCTATACTTTGTGGAAGGTAATAATTTTAGAATAACACTTCACATATCAGTATCTATCAGGCGTTTCAAACATTCACAATGAAGGGAAAATACCTACATACAGTATATGCTCCACTGGCTTACGTGACTTGTAGAAGGTAAATAAAGTTGAACACGTAATCAACCGCATATTATTCCGTCAGTTTGACAATCGTTTTTGCTTTCAGTAAATTGCTATTAAATTACTCCTCTTTAAGCAATTTTCCCGCTTATTTTAACCTTGACTCGTGAATTTTGTTGAGACGGGTAACAATGAGTTATTACTATTATTAATGTTTGCATGGGTGGATTGATGCATAGCTGTTTGTTAGGAGGTATCTCCGGAATAGCTTAACTATCTCGATGAAATGTGTCATAGATGAAAAATATAGTCTAGAAAAACAGATAGGCTACTTATATTTTTTTAAACACGCTTCGATATTTAATTACGTGATTTATAAAGCAATATTAACTTAATTAAAATATTTTATATCAGTTAGAGTAACTTTAAAATGTATTTATTTAATTGATACGACAGAAGTCGAACCTACTCAATACACGTCCTTGGTTTTCTTTAATATTATAAAATAATTATTATTGCATACACGATATACAAATTATCGCGGACAAATTTTGTAATTTGTTTATCCTTTCATTAACCTGGCTTCATTGAGGTTAACGTGTTTCAGTAAATAAAACAGTATTGCAGTAACCTACAGTCTGACCTGTTTAAAGTTCAGCTAGAATTTAATCGGATTTCTGATAAAACATGCCTGAGTACATTTATATGCGACGTGTTAGGTACAGGGTCTGAAATGATGCAATAAAAACAATTGACTCACACTTACGTGGACTTTACTCGTTTGATTGACATCCGACAATAACCCTTGTTCATCAAGTGCATAATGTCACCTGATATTTTATTATTGTCTGAATTAAATCACACTTTTGACTTAAACTATCGCATAAATGTTAATCTCATTTAGACTCCTATGAACTTATATGGAGGTGCGCACATTACTCGATTTTTAGTTGGGCAACTAAACAATCAAATGGGCTGCGAGACAATCGACAATCGCACATTAGTTGTGCTATAGTTTAGTCAAAGGTGCACTCTTATAATGGAAGTAAGATCAGATTACTTTGGTTAACGTTAACGATGATGTTTTTAGAAAATCACCCTAATAGAAATAATGTTAAAGTTCATTTTCCATCGTTGCAGGATTCAGCAATAGACTGGGCACGAGACCATCGTATGCACCATAAGTATTCGGAGACGGACGCGGACCCGCATAACGCGACACGCGGTTTCTTCTTCTCGCATATTGGCTGGTTGCTTGTGCGCAAGCATCCGGAGCTGAAGCGCAAGGGACAGGGACTTGACCTCAGTGACCTCTATGCCGACCCCATACTCAGGTTCCAGAAGAAGTTAGTATCTTTCATTAATATTTTATTTCTGTACTGTAGAATTATCTTAAAGAGACAATTGAGTAGAAAATGAGCTTGTGTAGCAATTTATGTAATAGCTGATTTATACTTGTTATGTAGAATGTCAGTAGTCACACTATATTTTAGAATAATCCTTTTTTAATATATAACCATACACTTACGTCTTTTCGGCTATATATTTTCAAACTGTAAATCTTAGGGGGTCAGTAAAGTGACAAAACATACAAGCTAATGCGAACAAAGAATTCATGTTGTCATGCGTACTTAAATTCTTAAGCAATACAAAAGACTATTTTGCCTTATGAGCATTTGAATTTTGACATATGCAATGTTTAATTAATTTTTTTTTTCAGATATTACCTACTCCTGATGCCCTTAGCGTGCTTCGTGTTGCCGACTGTCATCCCCGTGTACTACTGGGGGGAGAGTTGGATCACTTCCTTCTTTGTAGCGGCCATGTTCCGCTACGCTTTCATATTAAACGTTACTTGGCTGGTCAACTCCGCCGCACATAAATGGGGCGACAAACCATACGACAGACATATTCAGCCCGCGGAAAATATCTCAGTCGCATTGTTCGCTCTTGGTGAAGGCTTCCATAATTACCACCATACCTTCCCCTGGGACTACAAGACCGCGGAACTCGGCAACAATAGACTCAACTTCACCACTAACTTCATCAACTTCTTCGCTAAAATCGGATGGGCTTACGATCTCAAGACCGTCTCCGATGAGATCATACGCAGCCGAGTGAACAGAACCGGTGATGGATCTCATCACCTCTGGGGCTGGGGTGATAAAGATCACGCGAAGGAAGAGATCGACGCAGCCATCAGAATTAATCCTAAAGATGATTAGATTTTAATTTTAAACTCGCTTTATATTGTTATGTAGAGTGTTGGAAATTTTTTTGTTCTAAGGATCTGGACATTTGATGTCGTAAAGTTAACTTTGGAATTATTGAAAAGCAAAATAATTTTTAATGTTCTACACAAGCAAAGATTTAAATACCATTGAAATGTTCGATGAATTACACAGATAAGAAATAAATTTACTGTAGATTTACTTGAAATCAATTTGGATTTGAAAAATATTTGTAGTATTGCAATTTTTTTTAATATGTTAATACAACATATATCAAAAATCAATGTTTTAGTACAATTTGTATTTAAATCTTTGTCATATGTAATTTTTAAGCACTGCAAAGGCACATGCTGTTTGACTCACACAAAGACATTTTTTTTTCTAATTTACTCTAACAGTTAGATATTTTAAATGTTCTATACATAGTTCTAAATGTTTCTATAAGAATAAATGCTAATAAAAACAGACCTTTAATTTATTAGAATTTAAATTAGAAATTGCATTATAAAAAATGTTTCAGTCGTAATTTACATGTTTTATTATGTGCATGAAGACAGTATTAGTTTATTTAATAAAAACAATTAACAATTTCATATATTTTTGGTAACTTCAAATATATTAATTTAAAGTTTTCAAGTTAAGTGTTAGTCTTTTTAGCACAAGATTACTGTTTAGAAGAAACCTTAGAAGAAAAGTTTCCATAAAATTCTCAGAAGACATTTTTAAAATAATATTTAGTAAAAAATGGTTTCGTTTCTACTACAATTGTAGCTTCTCTTTTCGTATTTCATGTAACGTAATTTCGATTCATCTTTCTTTCATAAAATCTATTTTTTTACTAATTCTTAATATCTCCTGGAAATGTCTAAATACTTTTTTTCGTCGCTTTTTCTGCATATTAGCATTCACAAGCCAGTATTATCTACTGATAATTCTATTTATTTGTCTATAATTATAGATAAAAATTAAAAGTATATCACGGAAGAGAAGATAAAAAACATTGTTGCATTAAAATTTTAATGTTCATAACAAGTAGTCTCACATTTATGTACTAGAAAAAGCTATATATAATTATTTACTTTTAAATATGTATAATAACTTTCAGGACGTAAGATTTTTTGCACTCTTCATTAAAAATACACATGTATTTAAATGCTTGGTAAAATTAGATAAACTCATTTACATATGAATAGTTTGTGTAGCGAGTTACATTTAGTATCATTTATGAAACATTGTGATATATTTAAGAGGGTATTTAGAAAGTAGAGACGCTTTTTGTTCGTTTTTTTAAGTTTTATTTTTTTTCAAATTTTTTATTAATTGCCAGCGTAATGTCGATGTGCTTAACAATTTGTAGACGTACTTTGCTTGTGTCAGCTATAAATTCACATTATACTGAGACTGATGAAATATTTGTGTTTTATTTCACCTTTACATAAAATCTATATATAAGGCGAATACCGTATAATTATACACCTATATGTGTTAAATTAATACATTACAAAGTTCTTTTAATAAAGCAAAATCCACTTAAGCCTAATATTTTTTTAATCATCCGCCATTTTGTTGACAAAGTTTTCTTTTACAATTCCATTTTAAGTGCAAGGATATTGGATACGGTGCTTTAGAGTAGTAAATCCTTAAAACAAAACAGCAGACAATTCATTTTATAGTCACGAAATTACAGTAAATCCTTACATAATATTCTGCTCGACCACTTTAGCTAACAAGCATTTCAGCAATAAGTGAAAGTCTTTAAAGCGTAAACCTGCATTAGACTGCAAACTTAGTCTTAGCATTCTTGCAGTTTTGAGCTTGTCGCGACAAGATAGCTTCCTTTGCCTTCTTCCGTGGCAGGCTGCAATCGCTTTGTCAGCGTACTTCGTATCAAATGCTCTCCTCATAGAAGAAATCCTGCTCATCGTATTTATCCGGGAGGCAGACGAAGAATTCGATAAAGTTCATGATAGGTCCCCGAGAGAATGGATTCTGGTAGCGTCCTCTCTTGTCCCTCAAATAAGGGTATCGTTTGTAATTAAACATTTCGTTTGTAGTCAGGTTCATGCATGCGTGGAGTATCTACAAATACAAATTAATATAATTGTACTCTGCAATATGAATTTAACCACTCCACTAGACAACTCGCCAGGAAGGCGCGCGAATTTCCATCCTTCCCATGACATTGACAGCTGTCAGTTGAGATGTGACGTTTATGCCAATAATCTAGTGTTGCGCCAATTCTATAGCGCGGTACTAATTTTCTTCTTAACAGTAGTTACTTCGATTATAGTTAAAAACAATACTTACAGAAGTACATGTGAGAATCCAGCCGAGCGCGCAAAACGTAATAGCTTCTAGAAGTCCAAGCATGTAGAGTAAACCGAAACCTTCCAAGAACAGACAGTAACAAGCGAAGTATATGGATAGCGTGCAGTTGATTGCAACGCTCATGACGAATAAGAAAAACCACATTCGGTTTCGAACACCGATGCAGTTGTAGATGAAAGGGCAATGGTGGTCGAAGTACGCCACGCAACGTTTGCAAATCCGACAATGCTTAGCTCTGGAACACAAGAAAAACTAAATAGACAAGACATAGATCGAATTTCTAAAAGATATATAAGGCTCGAGAAGTGAAGAAGGGAAGGGGTTATAACATAAATAGTGTATTGTTTTAATAGCAAGAGTTAAAAGATAACCATAATGCGAAATTCATCTTTTAACACAAATTATATGCGAAAAAAAAATTGAAATCGTCTCTGGAGTTTTCCAGTTACTCCAATACATACAAAAATATAAATATTTCCTCTTTATGTTGGTATAGACAATATAGGTTAAGTATGTAAAATAATATTTTGTAGTACTATACCTTAAAGGTCTTAAGCAACGGCAAGTGTGGCACAAACGTGACAGGATAACGTTCCGTTTCTTCCACTTATCGTAGTAAGGTATCTGTCGTATGGCGCGGTAGTAAGTCTCCGAGTTCTGCGGGATGTAGCCCGGGTCGCGTCGGTTGGCCACCACCCAGCTCAGCCACATTATCACGTTCCAGTATAGAAAGAAGTAATGGGACAGACGTAACGTGTTCCATGTAAGAGGAATGCACTGAAATTGTTAAGGATTACGAGTACATAATAATAATACTAATATTATAAATGCGAAAGTTTAGATATATGTCTGTTAGAGTTTGCAGACTAATTGGCTTAACGGATTTTGATGAAATTCGGTATAGATATAGAGGATAGTCTGGAAGAACACATAGTCACTATTGTTTTTTTAATTCCACGCGGACAAAAAAGTGGATGAAAGCTGGTGTAAACATAAAATCCAATAGGGTACATACTTTTTCTTACATGATTCTTGTGGAATGCAGATTACCTTTTTTTCTACATACAACATAATAATTGACAAAAGAGTCCGTTTGCTATTTTTGAAGTATGATATAAACAACACAAAAATTACTGTCGAATTTTCAAACAAGATACAATACGTTATGTGATTAAAAGACTTCGTTATTACCCGTATTATGTACATAGGATATCCCCACAGCAGTACGGAAACCAAGAAGAATAATAACGGTCCTTTGGAGTCTCCTGCTCCTCCAAACAGCAACGCCCACAGTTCCGAGAGCGGCGGCATCCAGTGGGACTTCCTCTTCATCTCCTTCTGC